GTACCATCAAGTCGCAGCTGGCTTATGGAAACCCCTCATGGAGTTTTAAAGGTAAGAGACATTCACAGGTGGTTTTGCCGTCGCCTGCCTCTGCGCAGCAACCCTAGACTGCCTTGGTGGTCTCCCAGCCAAGGACTAACCAGGGCCGACCCCGCTTAGCTTAGCTTAGGGCTAGCCTGGGCCATCTGGGACCCACGTATCCCGGAACCAGTTTGGTGTCGTGGTTAGGAGTGTGGACTCTAATCTGGGAGAACCAGGTTTGATTCCCTACTCCTCCACATGCAGCTGCTGGAGTGACCTTGGGTCAGTTACAAGTTCTCCCAGAGCTGTCCTCTTAAGGGCAGTCCTTGAAAGAGCTCTCTCAGCCCCACCTACCTCACCGGGTGTCTGTTGTGGGGAGAGGGAGGGAAAGGAGACTGTAAACTGCTTTGAGACTCCTTTGGGTAGTGAAGGGCGGGGTATAAATCCCGTCTCTTCAGTTTGGTGTAGTGGTTAAGTGCACTGACTCTAATCTGGGAGAACCAGGTTTGATTCCCCACTCCTCCACTTGCAGCTGCTGGATGACCTTGGGCAAGCCATACGTTCTGTCAGAGCTGTTCTCTCAAGGACAGTTCTCTCAGAGCTCTCTCAGCCCCACCCACCTCCCAGGGTGTCTGTTGTGGGGAGGGGAAGGGAAAGGAGTTTGTAAGCCGCTCTGAGACTTCAAGTGAAGGGCAGGGCATAAATCCAATCTCCTCTCCTCCTCCTCTCTTTCTTTGTCTCCAGGATCGCCTCTCCTGGTATACCCCCCAAAGAGCATTGTGCTCAGGGAATAAGAGCTTATTGGTGGTCCTCAGACCGCAAGATATCCGGCTGCTCCTGGCTCCAACCTGGTGGAACTTTCTGCCAAATAACATCCGTGCCCTGCGGGACCCGATGCAGTTCTGCAGGGCCTGTAAGGCTGAGATGTTCCGCCTGGCGTTTGGTTGAGGACAGCGACGGTCCCTTCTTTCTGGCACTCCCCGCCTCCCCGTGAGGCAGTGGCACAACTGGAATTGTCAGCGTCACCTGTTAGGTTGATTGTTGTGTTTTTACTGTTTTTAAGTCCTTTTAATTACGTATTAGGAGCTGCGGTGGCTCAAGTGGTTAAGACGCTGAACTGCAGGCTGTGGAAGGTCGGTAGTTCAGCGGTTCGAGACCCGAGTGTGCCGCATGACGGAGTGAGCTCCCGTCTCTAGTTCCAGCTCCTGCCAACCTAGCAGTTCGAAAGCAAGAAATTGCAAGTAGATAAATAGGTACCACTTCGGTGGGAAGGGAACAGCGTTCCGTGCGCCTCGGTGTTTAGTCACGCCGGCCACATGACCACGGAAACGTCTTCGGACAGCGCTGGCTCCTCGGCTTTGAAACGGAGATGAGCACCGCAACCCTAGAGTCGGATTCGACTGGCTTTCGAGCAAGGGAACCTTTACCTTTACCTTAATTATGTATTATATGGGTCTATTCCATGCTGTACACCGCCCCGAGCCTCTTATGGGTCAGGCCCATAAGGAAACGGCATCCCATTAAGCCTCCGTTAAAAGGGGCAGGACATTCCCCCCCTCCAGGTTGTTGGCACCCCTAGGGATCCTTATCTTCCACTGATTTTTTCTCTCTTCCTGGTTAGCCTGTGCTGAGATTACAGGATAAGAGCTGGCTGGTCTTCTTTTTACATGGTGGCTTTATAGTATTTATGGCCAATGTCTTTTTATGACTTAAATGATTGTCAGCTGCCCTTGGGCGCTTTGTAAAAGCAGAGAAGGGGGGACATTAGCCTTCTAAATACGTCACGGAACAATTACAATGACGGCCGGGATGCAGCATCAGGCCCTGCTCTCAGATATAAGAGGAGGAGATTGGATTTATTATTTATTTATTATATTTATACCCCGCCCTCCCTGCAAGCGGGCTCAGGGCGGCTTACAAGGGAGCACTAGTGCTGACACATAAAAACACAGTAAAACAGTATAAAACAGTAAAACCATTTAAATCAACAAAGAATAAAGTGCTCAAAAAGAACAAGATGGTCTCCATAGTTTGCAGGGGAATATCAGGTTGCTAGCAGTTCGAAAGCAAGAAATTGCAAGTAGATAAAGTAGATAAATAGCGGTGGCTCAAGTGGTTAAGACGCTGAACTGCAGGCTGTGGAAGGTCAGTAGTTCAGCAGTTCAAACCCGGGTGCCGCATGACGGAGTGAGCTCCCGTCTCTAGTTCCAGCTCCTGCCAACCTAGCAGTTCGAAAGCAAGAAATTGCAAGTAGATAAATAGGGACCACTTCAGTGGGAAGGTAACAGCGTTCCGTGCACCTTGGTGTTTAGTTATGCCGGCCACATGACCACGGAAACGTCTTCGGACAGCGCTGGCTCTTCGGCTTTGAAACGGAGATGAGCACCGCAACCCTAGAGTCGGATTCGACTGGCTTTCGAGCAAGGGAACCTTTACCTTAAATAGGAGATGCCGGGGACTGAACCTGGGACCTCCTGCATGCCAGGCAGAGGCGCTTCCACTGAGCCACGGCCCTCTTGC